AGTGATCAAGCTGAGAAAAAAAAAACTTCACTATAGTTTATATCTAGAGAATACTATATAAACTTTATTGTATTGAGCGAAGAGTTAATAATGATGGCAATGAATTTAAAAAAAATTCTTCACTTTATTAAGATATTCATAATATCAAGAGTTAACTATAACAAGAGTGACTTGTATATTTTTTACTGAACTCTGTCCCTATGATTTCTTAGGAGTAGAGCCTAGTACAAAACATATTTGAAAACACGAACTGGGTTTTCACTTGGCAGCACCCAAATTATATAAAATTATGATAATTTTACAATCCCAATTATAGGATGATACCCGATCAAACACTTGCAACAAAACTGGTTAAAGGAAAAAAAAAGATTAAAGACAAAATAACCGTTCTCCTTTATATGAATACAACTGGCACAGATAAACTCAAACTATTAGTTATTGGAAAATCAACAAATCCATATTGTTTCAAAGGTATTCGGAGAGAAAATCTTGATGTCAAATATGATTCTAGTAAAAAAGCATGGATGACAGAGGCCATTTTTGAACGTTGGATAAAATCTCTAAATAATGCTTGCAGACTAAATCGAAAAAAAATTCTCTTATTAGTTGATGGTGCCACATCTCATTCCAATTGTGAACTTACTAATGTCAAACTTCATTTTTTACCGCCCAATACAACACCTTACTTACAACCATGTGATGCCAGAATAATATACTCATTTAAAGCTTATTACTGAAAATTATATCTTCAAAATATTGTAGATGCTATTAATTGTGGACAAGAAATACCTAAAATTAATCTCTTAAGTACAATCAGGTATTAATATAAAACAAAAATAGTGAATGGACTAGGAAAATCATCATTTAAGAGCAGGCCTACTAAATAATTGATTTATGGGCAATTAATTGACAATTTTTCGAACTCAATTCATTAATTGGCGGCACAGCCACAATTGATCAATTAATTGCAATTTTATGTAATTAGACTACGTATAATATACTTGCTAAGATTATATTAAGTTATTGCATCAAACTT